CCCGCCCCGCTCCCGCCCACCGGGTCAGTCACCTGGGTCCAGCGGGCGGGGTCTGTGGGGGCGGAGGGAGGCTGGGGCGGCTAATGCTGAAGGGAGCGAACCGTCACCGAGAGCGAGCGGAGCACGCGGCCGCCACCTCCCGCCCGCGCACGCGCAGTCTCACACCCCGCACACACGCGCACACTCACGCCTCTTCTTCCAAGCCTCCCTCGCGTGCGGCCCGTCCGATTTACACACGACGTGCTCAAGTCGCTAGCTACGGGACGGGCCTTTTGGGCTTGCAAACCGCACGACAGTCCTTTGGGGTAGGCAAGGCTCAACCTTGATGAGACCCAGGGACAAGGTGCGGTCCCTCAGCTCGAGGCTGCACGGAGGGACCAAGCTGGGGCAGAAAACCCAGTGTCCTGCCATCAGGAGGAAGGCGGGCACCGTCCACCCTCTCTGCACCTACAATCATCCTGACGGGGCGTCGGCGACATACACCTCGAGGCCCAAACAGACGTAGGGCAGGCGGCCACACGGGCGCAGACCGTCACCCCGCTAAGCCGCACGCAGACCCGCACCACCGCTCGCCCCGCCCACGGGTGGCCACGCCCAGGGCCCGGGCCCGCCCACAGGCCTGGCCCCGCCCCAGGAGCCGCTCCCTCGCGGCCCGAAGGACCCGCTCCTTCCGGGTCTCGCAGAGCACAGCAGCACGCAGGCACTCGGGCGCACGCACACCCACGCCCAGCCAGCCTCCCCCGCCAGTCACACGTCCCGCCCGCCGGGAGCATAGGAGAGGCACTTGCTTTCGCTGACTGAGGGCAGCGCTTGGGGCCCGCAGCACGGCAGCAGCTTGAGGAAGCGCTGCTTCAGCGCCTTTTTAGTGGGCCCCGGAGGGTGGCCTGGGAAGAGAGAAGACCCCAGGAGGGCACGTTACCTTCCCCGGCCCTGGTCCCGCACTCCCGGTCCCCTCCCACCGGTCGCACAACCACCCCGGGAGGCGGGGCGGGAAAGCAGACGGGCGCTGGGGTTTGAGGGGGCCTGCGGGGCCTAAGGGCAGGAACGGCCAGAGGAGGGGTCTGACCACAGCGCCCCCAGGGAGAGGGCCTAGGAGCCGCAGGCCTGCCTGGGTGGGAACGCTCCGCACTCAGTGACATGCATGAGTAATGACGTGTAGAACACCCCCAGACAGGGGCATGGACGTGTCATAACACACAGACCCACACACACATGACATGTGCAGTGACACATAGAATGACAAATCACAACAGGGACCAGGGATAGCTGGACACCTTGCAGCTCACACCTAATGGCCCAGTACACTCCAGCGCATGCACACACACACACACACACGCGCGCTTTTACCTAGTACTCCTTAACACAATGTATAAATATGACCAAAGCAGACCATGACGCACATGTAGAGACCATGTTACAGGCCGTATGTCACAGCATGATCAAACCACACAAGAACTCACAATGGCCCTGGGACATCCTCACACTGTGTTAAGAACACCACAATAGCAGCGCGTAGTGGCACACACCTGTAATCCCAGACTTAGGAGGCTGAGGCAGGAGGATCACTGAAAGTTCAAGGCCAGCCTGGGCTACATAGTGAGTTTTCAAAGCCAGCCTGAACTACATGGTGAGACCCTGTCTCAAAAAACAAACAAAACCCCCACCATGATACAGATCAAGGTTCCCATGACACAGCCCATAGCATAAGTTCCTGAGGCATCCGGACCTAAGCTTGTCCTCACCCACACAGGCTCCATTTGTCCTGGCACACACTTCTTTCCCAGGACCCCTCATCCCAAGGCACCCAGAATCTTCTTCCCCAGCGACAGGCTCCTCATCAGCTAACTCATCAAGCTGCATGTGTGGCCTTTTCCAAATCTTTTCCAGCGTGGGTTGTTCTTACTGTGGTTTGAGACAATAACAGACCTTGGAGATGAATATATATATATATATATATATATATATATATATATATATATACACACATATATATTCCGGTACCGGGAATCGAACTCACGACCTTGCACTTGCCAGGCAGGCACTGTGCCGCTGAGCTAAACCCTCAGCCCCTGGAGATGAATATTTTGGTGTGGCGTGGGCCTGTCCAAGGCCCATTCACCCTGGCCCCTCTCCCCTGCTCTTCCTTGTTTGCGTGTGTGTCCTGCAGCTCTAACTACACCCGGGGGACTCTCAGCACAGGTGCGTGTGTCTGTCTGCGTGCACGTATCTCCGAGCTGCATGCACCTCCACATCCCCAGGCCACACAGAGCCTGCTAGGCCTGATGTACTGACTAAAGCTGACCTCAGTCCATTCCAGGGGGGACCCTTAGTTATAAGTTACCCCCAGTGCATCTCAGTCCATTCCAGCCCCCAGCCCACTCTGCCCTCCCACGCCAGGAACAAGCCCTCCACCCTCAGAACCAGGCGTTGGTCCAGGAGGGAACTGCCCAAGGTCCCCACCTCCTCCCCTCCTTCCCTCTCCGCCTCTCCCCTCACCCGGAGCTTCGCAGAGCTGGTAGGTAGGAAGTGGTGGGCCAGGCACTCGAGCATGGTGGCCTGGTCCCCGCCCAAGGCTCCATTGGCCAGGACTCTAGTTTCCCAGGCTGCACTGAGCCTGGGGCTTCTGATGGCGGTGTCACCTGACTGGGGTGGCTCCTCCACTTCCCCTGCCCCCTCTGTCTGCTCCCCAGCCTCGGTCTTCTCTAGATCCCGAGGGTGGGAATAGTAAGGGGCTGCCTCCAGCCCACATGCTGTTTCCCCGATGGGCCCTCTTCCCACCAGGCGGTCTGAGGGGAGGGCAAGTTGGAGTCAGCTGGCTTCAGCTTGTCCAGGGTGGGTGAGAACAAGCTCAGCCCAGCCTCCCCAGTTCCTCAGGGTCTAACTCATGGTACCCGTAACTGTAGCGGTGGTGGAGGGAGCTCTTACTGAACCTCAGAGCACATAATCTGTGGGTCTGCTTCCTCTTCCCTCACACCCTTCCGGTTCTGCCAGGTGCCTACCCCGCGGTCGGCCCCCAGTCCCTGAGGCTCTTGCCTGCCTTGCCTGCCCCGGTGCAATGGGGGACAGCCATGCACGGAGCTGTACGGTTCCTGTGAGGAGGAGGAGCCCAAAGCTCTCCGTGGAGGCAGAAGCATCTGCTCTACCTCCAACGCTACTCCTCTAGCGACTTTGGGGAGAACTAACTTCCCACTCCAGGGATGAAGCCCTGGATCCTGGGAGGAGCTGCGAGTGGCCCCAGGCTGGGGAAGCAGAGCCCGTTCCCATCTCCTCCACACTCCCTGGCCAGAGCCAGGCTGTAACTGTCACATTCCCAGTGCTCCCACTCTGTCCCTCCAGCATCTGCTCCCTCCAAGTCCCGGACATAGAGCTGGCATCTCCTCAGAGAACCATGGGAACAGCCACACGCTCAACCAGACCCCAAAAGGCTCGGCTGCACCCCGTCACTCCAACAAAATACACCGTGTCCTCTCACACACACAAATACAGTTGCTCCCTATATCTTACAGAGCACCCTGTAACCCACACCCACAGGTGTGGGGTCACCCACATCTTCAGAGTTCTTGTAGTACCCTGGCTCCAAAAGGGACTATCAGAAATCTGATATTAGTCGGGCATGGTGGTGCACACCTGTAATCCCTGCACTGGGGAGGCTGAGGCGGGAGAATCGCCTTGAGTTTGAGGCCAGCCTGGGCTACATAGTGAGTTCAAGGCCAGCCTGACCTGCATAGCGAGACCCTGTCTCAAAATGCAACAAAGCAAGAACAAAATACTTCATTGTAATCTGACCTTATCTCAGGGTCCCTAACACCTCCCCCTACTCCAGATGCCTTCTGAATATCTCGATACCTCCGCTGCTCGCAGATCCCGCACCCACGCTGCACCACTCACCACCTCCCCCTCCCAGACCGACTCCTGCCCCCATGTGCCGCCCCTCAGGCCCCACCTCTAACCTCCCCAGCAGCCTGTCTGCTCAGGCACTGCTCAGGTCTGGCCTCCCCAACCCCGCAGCTCGGCCTGCCCACATGGACTCCTGGGTTACCTCCAGGGAGACGGCTCCAAGGGCCGAACTGCTCCAGGACCTTGACAGAGTGAGGAGACAAGCACGGCGGCCACCTCCAGCCCTTCAGGTTCCTGGCGGTGGGCCCGGGGCACAGCCCCACCCAGCAGAGGGGCAGATGCCCGGCTGCCAGCCTCGCCTTACCTGCGGCCGGCCACACTGGACAGCCGGCCCGGCTCTCCGGCCTCCGCCCTGGTCCCCCCCCCCCCAAGCCTCTGCCCCACACGTCCCCCACCCCCCAGCTGCAGCCTCTGCTCTCCCGGGAACCACCTCAGCCTCGGGACTAGCACCTCTGTCTCGAAGGATGTGGGCCAGAGGAGGGCAGCAGCACCTGCCCCTGCTCCTGGATACAACGGCCTCAGTCTCCTTCTGCCCCTGTGCCTCGAGGAGGGGCTGGGCGGAGCCAGCTGTGCTTGGGGAGGGCAGCGAAGGGCAGGACGCACACGCAGGGACCGATCCCACGTAAGTAATACACGCAGGCTGGAACCAATGTCACGGCATCTGGGCACGGTCTGTGTTCTTCCCAGGGTTCTCAGTACGGGCATACACACGCCACCTCTTACACGTCTGTACGTGTTCACATGTGACTGCACACTGTCACAAAGGTGTGTACGCTGTGTATGGCTGCTATGAGGTGGGGTGTCTACGAGTGCTGTGTGTATTTGAGCGTGTATGAGGTGAGGTGTGTGTTTCAGTAGGACTGTGGAACGTGGGTCTGAAGTTCGGTGGGCGTGGCGGTGTGCTATAGCAACTAGGGGCAGGGGTCTCCGGCTGCCAAACTCCAGCGGTAGAACCGCATCTGAGGGTGGAGAAGGCAGTGACCGAGCGTCTCTACCAACAGCCATCATGGTTGCTATGGAGACTGCTGACCCACAGGCCACAGCAGTGAAACTGAAGCCCAAGGCAGGGAGGATCAGGTCCCACACCCGGGCAGGAGAAGGCCTTTTAACCTCCTCCCGACCACTGGGGACGGTCAGATCTAGGCCCCTTGAAGAAAGAGGACTGCACTCTTCCCCTCCTAGCCGGGACCTCTTCCGGGAGACGCCACAACTGAGTCTGCTCTTTGGGAACTTGTGCTTCCCGGCAGCACCCCCCTCCCCTTGTATCCCCAAGCCCTTACACCTCTTCCCTGCTCCTTCCTGTGAGTGGAGAGGCCTGCAGGGCCAGTGAGCCACAAGACAAGGGCGGCAGAGTTAGCACCTCGAGACTAGCATTGCTGGCTAAGGGTGACAGCACGGCCATGCACTAGAGGCTTAGCCGTGTACCTACAGATAGGGGCCCACCGGGCTTTCTCACACCTCTGCAGGCCGGACTGCTACCCCATCATGCCAGGCGGTGAGGCTCAGTCAGACGGGTTAGGCCAATCTCCAAGGACAGAGCCTCTGTTTACACCCAGTCTTGCCGGGTGTGGTGGTGCATGCCTGCAATCCCAGCACTCGGGAGGCTGAGGCAGGAGGATCACTGAGAGTTTGTGGCCAACCTGGCCTACAAGGTGAGCTCAAGGCCAGCCAGAACAGCAGAGCAAAACGCTGTGTCAAAAAGACAAATAAGTAAATAAATAAATAAACCCAGTCTTGCTGGGCATAATAGCATACACCTGTAATCGCTGCACTTGGAAGGCTGAAGCAGGAGGATCAACTTAAGTTCAAGGCTAACCTGGGCTACATAGTGAGACCCTGTCTCAAACAAGCAAACAAACAACAAACACCCCAGCCTGCCCGTGCTACACTCTACCACTCTACGTTCCATTTGCTAGCTCTGTTGGAACCCTGCGGCCAGGAGGCCCAGTTTAGGGACACTACGGGATGAGCAAGCGGTCCAGACTGG